CAGTTGATCAAAGGTGATGTTTATTGACCCGATGAAAAAAAATCACTGTATGCTTTTAGCCCCTCCCTCAGCAGCCGACAAGAGCAGAGCAGCTTGCAGATGGTCCTTCAGCTTTCAGCACCTCTGACCATGAATACATCCTGAGAGCCGGCTCCCCACTGCCCCGGCACGTTTTCATGTTTCAACCATTTCACAAAATGTTCCTTTCTCTCAGTTAATCTAACATTTTAAAAAGCTCAATAAGGAATAGGAGTTAGAATGCGACAGACACTGCAAGTCCACGCTCTCCGTCTTTGCTCCGAGCAGCAGTGTAATCGCAGAGACTGTTAAATCAATGAGAGCCGTTCCACATCCCACAGACGCACTGCGCAGCAACGCTACTCAGCCGTGACGCTTTCACGGACCTACGGTCTCATTCTCTACATAATGCAGGAAACAGTACAGGTTTTGATAAATCACATTTTTCTCAAAGCCTATGTGACATGTGGCTCTCGGCCAATCAGAATTCAGCTCATTGCCTCTGATCAAGTTTGTAGAGAATAATACTATTGTCATAATCTCTACGTAATCTGTGTCTCTATCTCTGTTTCCTCTGTTTTCCCTCAAGAGTCTTAAAAATATCAACAACAACAAAAAATCATTAAAAAAAATAAAAAAGTAAAGTTCACGAGGGACATGATACAAACAATAACATTTTTCATATTTATTTGGAAATGTTTACAAATATACCATCTCAATTAAAAATGCCTGTATGTGTCTTGGAACATTTGTTATTGACAAAAAAAAATCTGTACAAACCCAAATGTAGAAATTAGTTCAATCAATGCCTGTGTTGACTCCATCTGATACACTGGCTTCATTTGAAAGCAGTGTTTTGGCCTGCGGTTCACTCCTCCCTTTTGGTGCCGTGATTCTATGGCACATTCGACTCCATCCATTGAGCGTGGTGTGTTCCCCCAAATCCTCCTTTAGCTGACAAAACTGATACAGCACCAGAGACAACATGGCTGACACTGCCTCCCCTCTCCTCTCTAGATCTGCTCCGTGCGGCGTGCATGCTGTCAATAATGGCTCCCAGATTTGGTTCGGTTCCACAACATTTCCGTGCAGAACAGATTTTGGAGCGGGGACAAGCAGGCTGTGACCGGCAGATAACTGGACACACAAGAATGACACTGTGCTCTTGCTGGTACCTTTTGGAAATCTGCGAGAGTGTGTTTCCGTTTCGGTATTCAACCAATCTTTTTTTTTTTGTCATATTCAAAAAGCAGCAACTCCTTCCTGATTGGAAAGTTTCATGAGGAGCAATTCTCATTTAAAGGGGCCACTGTTTCTTTTGATTCTGCGGTGACGTCCTTGGCTTGAAACCCATTAATATCTTTGGTAAAATTATGATAAACAAGCTTCACCAAAATCAGACGGAGAATGTAAAATTGTAAAAGCAAAAGAGGCATTCCTGTTGTGTTGTGGAGCTTGTATTTCAATTTAAAAGTCAAAATAAAACTCTATCATTGTACTGTATGGTATTTAATCTTCAACAGTTGCGGTTATATCTACAAAGAGGATGAAACTGTATTGAACAACACACTTAAACATGTATTTAGGTGAGACTGCAACACAAATAACAAGAACATTTATTTTGCATATTGGGATTCCAACTGAAGCTTGACAACGTGTTCAGTTAATTTGTTTTGTCTAACAATGCAAAAGAGAACATGCCTTAAGCAAAGCAAAAATAATTACAAAGCCTTTATGACAATGCCAAGCCATCACATGAGAGCGGTTTGGACTCAGTCGCCTCAGTGTCACCTGCTCTGCTATAACAGCACACTAATGGAAACATGGCTTGTCAATTAATAACATGTTTATTTTAATAATATTCTTGATAGCCAATATTCTGCTGCTAAACGCTCCGGTGGGCACAGGGGTAAAAGCGGCTCTGCACCGGCCTGTTGTATCCTGAACAATTTCCTCCATTCAAATCAACTTGTATTCTACCTGTCGACCTTGGACAGAAATGATTCTGCATTTACAGATGTTTCCAAATGCAGAATTCAATTCATTTTTCAAATCGGCCAACATCACAACAGCAGCGAACAATAGGTTGTGTTTGTGGTCTATAGAATTACAGATTAGTTAGAGGTTACAGGTTTTAAAGAAAGTTAGAAAAAGAAATGATATAATATTATCACAGATTATCATTCAATCATGATCATATTCACTTATCTCTGAAATGTTTTTTACAGGTTAATTTCTACATTCTACAATATTATCACCGCTTTAAGACACCTTAATGAGAAACTAATTATATCACATAATTAAAATTATATACTGACAAATAAGTAAATTTGTGACAGTTTTGTTTGATTTGTTTAATTATCTATAAACTAAGACTAGAATTACATCTTTATAGTTTGAAACAATAGGATCCTTGGAACATTGTCATGTCACATTAAAACTATTAGAACAATAGGAATATAGCTTCTTTAACCTGACTGAGTGGGTTGGGGTTTGCACCTGCTGCTCATATGTGAAGTGTGATATTCCTGGTTAGAAGGTAAAAACTAAAAAATGTTGTATGTGATCACAGCTTTGATTTACCTTTCGCTTTCACCTGTGCATTCTCAGTAACAACCACTTAGGAGAATCTAAGTTTAACGAGAAAAAAATGACCTTTGCGAGTGGCCAGGGGCGCTACAACATCCCAGTGGCCACAGGGGAGCCAGCTGGGGACTCTACAGAGAATACATGAATCAACAAACAGTTATCTCCTTGATATGAATTATTCCAACCCATTCCATGTCTTTGGAGAACTAGACATGTCAGATAAATGGTAGAATCATTCAGATATTGATGGGAAAGAAGAAAAGAAAAAAAAAAACTATGCTCATTCCAACAAAAACAGCAATAGCAGATAAGAAAAACTCATTGTTGCGGATGCCTGTACAGATTGTAGAGTACTCATATTGCAACAAGCAAAAAAACATTCTGAAGGAGGGGTGTCACATGAGCCGATGGAAACAGAACAGACTGTATGATTTATTTTGCTAGATTGAACAATACACCCTTAAGACTTGATCTTGCACTTTATTAAGCACTTAGTCATTTCACAGTGACAATTGTGTCTTTTGTACTTTCTAATGGGCTTTTATATTTGTACCGTGTTTTTAAATGTTTGTCTTTGGCTTTTGCAAAAGTCAATAAAATTAATCTTGGAACTTGATATAGCTTGAAAATATTTGTTATAGCCAAGGGAACAACTTTTAATTATGTTCCTCCAGCTAAATGCACTGCTTGTATCAATCTATTGTTTATTTTTGGCTTAAAAGTTACAAAGTTGGGGCTTTTAATAATGGATTATTTGGAAATAATCCAGTTCTTTCAACTCTGAATGCAGCCAAACAAAACTAAAACGGAAATTGGCATTGTAGTGATAAGATAGTGTCTGTCTTGTTTCTTCCAAGTTCATTGAGCCGAATGAAAAGCCTCTTCAAGTCTTGGTCTTGCAACAAAAAGCCCTTCTGTCATAGCTCCTATAGTTTTAAAAGTTGGACTCTTGTCACCATTCCACTTTAGCGGCACGGGGGCTGAGTGGATAGCACTCTCGCCTCTCAGCAAGAAGGTCCTGGGTTCGAATCCCGGTTGGACCAGGGCCTTTCTGAGTGGAGTTTGCATGTTCTCCCCGTTTGCATGTTCTCACAGCTCCTATAGTTTTAAAAGTTGGACTCTTGTCACCATTCCCCTTTGGCGGCACGGTGGCTGAGTGGATAGCACTCTCGCCTCTCAGCAAGAAGGTCCTGGGTTCGACTCCCGGTTGGACCAGGGCCTTTCTGAGTGGAGTTTGCATGTTCTCCCCGTGTCTGCGTAGGTTTCCTCCGGGTGCTCCGGTTTCCCCTACCACTAAAAATATGTACAATAGGTCTGGCATGTGCCTCCTGTACTGGCGACCCCGCTCCCAAAAATCACAATTGTAAACCGCTTTGAGACTCCAATGTGCAGTGAAAAGGCGGTATATAAATAAAGATTACTTTAAAACCTTGCATTTGCAAAAACAACTGCAGTTTGCATGTCAATCGAACAAACCAACTGCACCCAAGTTGTCAAATTGCTCTCCTCTGATCTTAGACAACAAACATAAACTTTAATCTGCTTTTTACCTTCTCTCTGCCCTACGGGTGCACATTTCAGCCCCCCATACTCCAGCGCACTTTATGAGGATGCCCATTTTTATATTGTGCTGAAATGAATTCGGGGGGACTAATAAAAAACTTACATGACCTCTCCAGCAAGTAGAGAATATATATGAATGCAGCTCTCCACAAGTCATCCATTGCAGAGGCACATTCCTCAAACCAAACCGATGACAGCATGATGGAGATGACGACCCGGCATTAAATCAACGTGCACTCTCAATGTGCGCATTAAATAATAAATAAAAGATGGTCAAGGCTGCAGCTACGAAGGTTGTTTACAGCTAAGCCAACCCAGATGGTGGAGGGCAGGATTGTAGGTGTTTTTCTAGTGTTCATGATAAAAACTTGCACAATGAAATAAAACAAGAAGTTTTCTCGCTCATGCATGTTCGAGTGGTTATTTGACGGGAAAAGTGTATGTACTGTCTATCTGTGTGGAGTTTGAATATTCTCTCCTTGTCTGTGTGGGTGCTCTGGTTTTCCCTACCACTAAAAACGTGCACATTCGCTCTGCCATGCGTCTGATGCTTGAGGACCCATCACTTCCATCTCTTTGAGGAGTGAGAGGAAAATTAGTAACGCTCTTTGTTAATCAAGATGACTTTTAACATCATTCACTTCCAATTAACTCATCTGCATTTTCTTCAATTTCAGACGGATAATGTTGTAAAAACGTTGATGGTAACTTCCGTCACTCATGTGTCTTATTATCATCTCAATCGCCTGTGTTCCAGAAAGTGGTCACTGCGCAAGTGCTTTGTTTCCTGATTTATATTGTTTATTTGGTCGAGCGCTTGTATTTATTGGTCAAGGGCGCTTTACAACTTTCCCGAAGATGGGACACACTGCTCCGGTGTCAATGGGTCGACTGCGTTGGAAGGCACATCATGGGTGATGTCGCAAGATCAAAACAAGGTTATTATAGAGTAATTCTACAACTGTCTGATGAAAATAAACACTTAGGCCCTGTCCACACAAAGTCAAGCTCAGGCCTAAACGCAAAAATACTTCATCAATCCAGTGTATCGTCCATACGAGGCCGGCGTTTTGGGGGGGTGTAAACGAACATTTTTGAAACTAGGTCCCAGAGTGGAAAGATTTCAAAACTCCGTATATGCCGCTCCGTGGTTACTGCCTCTCCGCAATGTATCTGAGACGCTTGCGTCATCGCCCCGCCTCTTGTTAAAGCACGCATGCGCCGCACTCAGAAAATAATGACAACAACAATGGCTTGTTGGTTTTGTAATCCAGTGTGACCCGAAGCAACAGTTCAACCTCATCGTCCGTCCATACTAATGTAGTACCAGCTCGCCCACTCGCCATGTTGTCTGTTTACAAAATTCCGCGCATGCCCAGTTCCCGTCACGGAAGTTTGGGCTTGATCCCGTCATTGCGTCACAGCGCCACCAACAGGTCTGGCATAGTTTCACAGCGTTTTCAGGCGTATTGACTACATTCATATGGACGCACACATTTACTGAGCTAACTCCGTGTTTACAGAAAAAGTTTCTGAAATTATAAGCGTTTTGTCTTCGTGTGGATATAGCCTTATTTTAACCTCTTACGGTGGATCAACCATTTTAATTGTGGACATCTCAAAGGGGGCTGCAACAAATCCATTTGTCACTGATTTCATAGGAAAGTTAGTATTTCAAATGCTTTAATTGTGGGGAAAACAGAGCAACTGGTGGTAATCTTCGCAGACAAAGGGAGAACGTGCAAACTCCACTCAGAGAGACCCTGTGCTAAGCCACTAAGATTGTGTATTTTGTTTGCGGTAAAAACACATTACATGTTGGATATCTGTAAATAAGGCCATGTGTATTCCAGAGGAGATCAGCAGCATGCAGGAGTTTGGCGAGTGTACCTCTGAGAGAAGATGTCACGGTAGGGGCTGCCGTGCTGCATGGCGATGCCGTAGCCGCGGTCTGGAGCGCTGTTACTGACGGTGTAGAACGAACAGTCCTCATCATTATTGGCCACGTACTCCAGCACTGCAGAGTCCCAGACGAATCCAAAACGCCCATACTTCACCTGGAGACATAAGATAATGTGTGTGAGGAAAACATGTTGATAAAACACCAACTGGAACCACTCCAATCCAAGGAAAGAACATTTTTAAAAACATCGTCCGGATTTTGAGTCTTTGGCTGACGCAACATTGGGGAGTGAATCAAATGTTTAAGAGCTGCACATTTGCAATCTAAATAGACTAATAATAACTTTACTTTCTTAGATCCACTACTTTCAAAGATGGGGAAAGTGAAAAAGTAAACTAGCGACAACCGTTTTGTTTCTTCTCAGTTTCTGGAAGTAAAGAATGAACCAAAGGTGGAGGTAAGGATTTTCCCCCTTATCTGATGGTGGCACCCCTCCATGGGGACTAGGTGACCCCCGCTGACCAATCTAAGAGTGACCTCAAGACCAAAATATTTTTAACTGGGGATGTAGTTAGCTCTCTTGGTCGGTGCATCAACTCTCTATGCATACATGTCGAAATTTCCCCACTGTGGGACAAATAAAGGATCTCTTAATCTCAATCTTAACATGCAACAGGTAGACCTCTCTATCTCTCTCTCTCAAGCCCTCTCTTCTTGGGGTATGATTATTTTCTGTTATGTTTGTATGTATCTAGTAACTATTTAGTGTCATTAAATGTCCTCTTCTATTTCTACTTAGTTTGGGCCTAGCAACAATTACTTTTAGTTAAAACAAAAGGAAAACCATTGAATGTGTTGATCAGAGCACTAAAACAACACATATCGACCGCCTTTATTTCTCTGTGCCCTCTATCTCAAATAAAGCATGTTGTCCTGTCCTGTTATTGCATGCTGATTTGTTCCATAGATTGTGTCCTTGTTATGAACATCGGCATGTACTGTAAGGTGCTTGATGGAATTAATTTTCAGTAAATCAAGTCCCTTCAGCTAAAAAACTGTAAAAATGAACTTTTTTTTGCAGACATTGGAGAGAATGTGATAAACAATATAGAAGTCACATTTATGACTCAAGCACTTTGGAGAATAAATCGCTCACTCTCAGATTTAAATTAGTCATTAATATGAACTTGGTGTTTGAGAGAATACATGTCCAGGGATGGGAAATAATTACAGAAGCGAAGGAGATGGAAAACTGAAGAAATCCAATATCATCTTTGTGTTTTTGTTTGTTAGCTAATCTTTTGCATCTGTGGCTATATTTTTGTTAACCTACAATATGGAAACTACTTGGAGGAAATTATCTTTTTATTATATAGCCCCTAGAGAGATTATATTTTGTAGTTTTGTAGTCATTCATTCATTCATTTTCTACCCCTTTATTAGTCCAATTTGTGGGTCGGGGGGCAGTGCTATGAGCTGCCACCCAATGCTCATAGCACCAGTCCCTCACTGATTGGCTGGCTGCTCCGTCAGTGGTGCCACGGTCTTGTTCTTTCAGCGGGAGCTTCAGGGAACGTGGGGTTAAGTCTCTTTCTCTAGGACACAATGACAGCAGACATGAGTGGGAGCAGTTGCAGTAGGTCTTGTGGGGGATCGAACGCACGACCTTCAGGCCCAAAGGCCAATGCTCTACCAACTGAAATACTGTCGTCCCCAGTAGTAGTGTTAAGTTTTGTAGTCTTAAAATGTAAATTCCTGCTTGTATGCCAAATGAGCTCTGGTTGCTATTAGGGTGCTATTATAGCCATACCATGTCTAAGCAGAGCATGGTAAAAACTTTAGACCAGGTAATGCCATGTTGGGGGTGTCTGTCTCCTAAAGTTCTAAAGTTCCATTGTGTCCTTGGGCAAGACACTTTACCCGCAGCATCAGTGAGGAGGTGTGTGCGTGATGGGTGGTAGTCGGAAGGGTCGGTGGTGCGAATTGACAGCCTCACTTTTTCCAGTCAGCCGAGGCTAATAAAGCTACCAGCACCATCTGTGAAAAGCAAACAATATGTTCTGACAAAGCCTCAAGATAAAGGCGGAGGTTCTTTAGTTTCCCGAAAGTGCCATTATTGGATTGAAGAATAAATGGAGACAAAAAATTCTGACAAAAAAGACATCCCTGAATGTTATTTTATACAAAAACAACCAAGGTCAGTCACGCACTATGCACAGGTTAACATTTATGAAGTCCATTTTTATATTTTCCACAGAAGAACTCAAAGCTGTATTTTATCTCTAGAATAATGATCACTTTTATAGCGGAATATCAATCCTGGCTCAAATGCAAATATAATTGCATTTATATACATTAAATGCATATATACTGTATCTAATGTGTATGAAAATAAATACATGTTCCTTTATCATGGTGCAACTCACAGCCAACCACTATACCAAGCAATAATATGTAAAGTAAACATACAAACAAATCATATTTTTTATCCTAAAAAGACAGACCAGGATAAATTATTCAAGAAGTCTCAAGACAGAATAGAGCAACTTGACTTGTTCCAACACAAAATTGTACCAACCATTTCTCCATTTTAGTGTTTGGTATTTTATGAGGTTTCCGCGACCTGAACATGTGACCCACGCTGATGCAATGCAATGACACAAGCGCTTATAAAATGTAGGAAAAAATAACCTCATCATTTCCATAGGTGTGTTCTGAAATTGTTAGACATCTATACGCAAATGTCTCTGCGGGTTAGCCAGCGATGTAGAGTTTATTCTGCTACTTTTTATCATACTCTCGAATCATGAGCTAACCTGCTGCAGTCACACTTTTATAGCCCTGCCGAGCCCCTATACACACTTTCATTTGCGAGTATGATCACCGTAAAATGAAATCTGCAGCAATACATGTTTTTGTTTCAACTTTGTTTAAGAACAGAGTCAGGATAAAACAGTTGCTTTAGACACACAAACAACTTCATGACCAAGGTTGTGACAAGGTAATTAATATCTCGCCATCTTCTATTTGTGATTCATCAATGTGCTTCACGCCGTAACATGGAGCATTACCTGCACCAATTTGATTCATAATGAATCTTTTGTAGCAAGGGTTCTTTTTGAAATCCTAATCACAAAATTAAAGTCTTGTAGATGCACTCTGTTACCTTCATGGCTCAGGATCCTGTCTCATTTTCATCCAGCAGAAATTGTTTGTGCAGAGTTTTAGAATCGTGTTCCCCTATGGCCCCTGTCGCGCTGTCACTTTATAATCTAAAATCATGATGTGCATGTGTAAGAATGCTGCATCTGAGTGAAATTTCCTTGAAAATGACTGTGTGTACAAACAGTTCAGAGACTGGGCTTGTTTTGCCGCACACCTAACTGTACCTGTTTTTGTTTCTTTATCAATTGTATTCCACTCACATGAATAATATTAAGTATGACTTTGACTATTTATTTCCATTGCATCACAGCCATACTTTCTTTACAAAGTCAAAAGTCACATATTTTCACTTATCTTGTTGTGAGCTCCTCATTTCTACTGTTCTGTAACCTGTGATGCAACATTGAAATTTCCACTGTGGAAAAAGTGAAATATGTCTAAATCTTTTTAATCCACTTATAGGTACTGTGTAGTTTTTACTGTCGTCTAGTGTTGAGATCATATATTGCGGTCTAAGGTACTACGGAAGCCTTCGAAAGACAATATGTGTCTTTAACAGTGCTCCTCAACTCTCGGCCATTCACCAGACTGCCAAGGAAAGAATATTTTAATCTCTCCAAACGTCTCGGGCACTTGGCAGTCGTGTGGAGGCGACATGTAAACAAGACCGCGTTCTGAAGCGGCACCTGCTGCACTGAGGCTCTACTGAGTTTTACCATGGATCTATAATAATATATAGTTTTACAAACGCAGTGTGAAGAGAAGAGACGCATGGAGGAATAATGTTTGTGGAAGCTTAAAACTACGATGATCAAAGAAGCAGGACATAAACACGGCCGCAGCAGGACATGGCTAAAAGCTCATGTTAGCATTAGCGTTAGCCACAACGCCCTATCTGCATCGTGGTAAGAAAACAGAACATTCACTCATGCTTCTGATAAAATATTTTGGCGATTGTTTTGTGGGGATTCTGTGTGTTTTATTTGAGGCTTTGTCCCTGTATAAAGAGGTAATTGCTGGCAGAGGTAATTGTTGAATGTTCTTGCTTAAAATGTCAGTTCCTCTTCTGCTTGTACAATGAGCCAAACCAACTGATTATGAAGTAGGAACAACAGCGGGGACAGTACTGAACACATATTCACAGAGGGACACATTTGTTTTAATCTCCATCTCTAATTCCTTGGGGGAAAAAAGAAACCAACATCACAGATGAACATTGACTGGATTTGATTCTACTAGTTTACTTGTCTTAAAACTGGTGAAGTCAGATATGTGCATTTATTGTGGTTTGTGGGAACTGATTGAGCTGAGATATGAACTGGACAAAACCGGTCAGATTCTGGATAGACCCTTTTAGCTTAAGCTCAACCTGACACATATCTAGCGTTGTACATCAAGGTCCATCTCTGTTATACGCAATAAATGACTCTAACTGTTTTCTTATTAACTGCCATAACTCTATAAATCATTCTTGTCATTTTCTGGTTTTATTTTACTGTTTTCTCCTGTGCAGCCCTTTGGGAAGTCTTTGGTTTCTAAAATCTATGTAAATGAAGTGGATTTGGACAAGGATTTGACTGTGGCGCTTTTGCCCAGTATAAAAGGATCTGCATGCCTTGTAAACTGTTTAAAGAGACAAGTCTTCTGAAACACAATCGTTACAAACAACTACCCAGACTAAGGTCTCAGTAACAGTTCTCATTCTCTTTGAAAAGCAACTAACTATGTTTTTCATTTATACCATTCAACCTAAAGACATTTTTTTAGGAGCATATCTTATCTCTTTTAAATCCATCATATAAACACATTGTGCCGCAGTAGCATGTTGAGTGTTCCGGGAAAGGGACACTCCACTGAGACTGAACTCATTACTCCCTCTTTGATTTTGAAGCTGAACATAATGACTATTTCATAATGACAAAATTATGGTGGCTCTATTATAGTCTTTTGTACAGCCGTGGTGGTCTCTAGCAGGATATTAATTGGTGAAACTTTTCTTAAAGCCGTATAATGGCACTCGAAGACTAGAACAGGGCAAATCATTTTGCAACTACCAGGCCAAATGCGGACCTCTGTGTCATTGGCACGTGTCCATTCAGCAAAACCCTTGGTGCTAATTTTCAAGACGACATGAGATGAGTAGATTGGAGAGCTCTTGTTCAGTTAAGGAAAGGGTCTAAAATGTTTCCATAGCAACACCTGTCCACTTTTATAGTTCTCTTTTACTGGTAATATTAAATTGGCTCATATTACCTGGTTTAGTGCATTGTAAATGTGTAGTCTTATCTCTTCATATATTTGTCCAAATATGGCCATATGAATTGTAAAGCAATGTGTATCACAATTCAATTCAATGTGTACTTATATACTGGCCTAAATCACAACAGCAGTTTTCTCGTAGGTATTAACAAAGAGGTAGAATTCACTACAGATCAGAGAATCAAACAGCGCAAACACAACATATGCAACGATGAAAAGACATGAAGCCATTGGTCCATTGGCGGGCAGATGTCCAATGTCCATAAATGTTGACAAATGTCTTGTATTGACTGCCCTGAATTGTCACCACAGTCCTTTTAGTAAGACCCTGACAAGAGTCCAACAGAACGTCCAGAACCGGCAAGGAACAACTAAAACCATAATCTTTTGTGCTTGTTTCTTACCGTCCACAACAAAGTAAACAATGCACTAAAAATCAAAGTCTGTTGTGTAGTTTATATCTGCTTTCCTTGAAGTGATTTTATTTTTTCTCTCTTGAGCACAGATACAAGACATGAAACTTTCCAATTATTTAGTCCAACTATCCCTGTGAGGGCTGGCAGGTTTGAAGAGGTCCTTCTAACCCAGCGCGGTTCAAACACCTCAACATCACAGTCTGACTTCAAAACCACTAAACTACTCCAGGCTGCATGCTCCCCTCCCTCTCCTTCTATTGCTACGTACTGTCAGAACACCAAGAGAAATACTAGACTCTTCATCTCATTTCTTCGCACAAAATCAAAACATTCTTGGTCCATAAACTGACAAAGGATTACAAATACTAGGTTTAAAAGGAGAATTGTAACAAACCGTTTTTTTTTCTTCTTTTTTTTCACAATTCAAAGAGATGTGAGAGTACATGGGAAGGCACTATGCAGAGGTTGTCAAATGGAATTGGATAAAGACGTGAATACTTAAAAGGATTTGTTGCATGCAAGTGAAGGAGATGTGTCCTCAGCACAATCTATCAACATGAATATTTGAAAACACTGTAATACAACCTAACTCGGATGGAAATAGCATGTAACGAGGATAATGAGTTCTGAATGCGTTTAACAAGAAATGAAATCGAATTAAATACATGATACATATATAATGAGTACACTTTTAGTATGAGGTTATTTCCGTCAAATCATTCATTCTCTCTCCCACACATGCACATAAATAAGTGTATCAAAAATAAAAACGGAAACGGGCGGCTCCCAAGGGGGTGTTTCTTCATAGCCCTCCCAGACAAGGCCCTGCACAGAACACTGCCCCTGTGACATAGAAATATACCATCAGACTTGTAACCAGAGGAAAACACAAAAATAAAATAAAATAGATGCAACTATAAGAAGGTAAATAAGTAAATACATAAATAAATACTTTTTTTTTTTTAAACCGTGGCCAACCACAATGATTTATAATATTTAAAACCAGCCAAGTAACTAATTAGTTTTAAATGTTAGAGTAGAAGGGACAGATATTTGATTATATTATATACAGTATTATGTAGAAATCAACCTCACAGAGACGGGATCGTTGCGCACCAGCATTGGCCAGAGCTATCTATCCGCCATGTATATATGTGTATATATATATACTGTACATACACTAATATTATTGATGCTCCTAAATCTTAGAAAAGAAAAAAAGAAAAATTGACATTGCTTTCTTCATGAGTGAACATTAAAGGGTTAAATCATGGTGTCCATTTTCAAATCTGTTCTACATGCAACAATTGACGCCAGGAGCAAAGTGTATTTTGATAAAAAAAGAAAAAAGACTGTATTTCTGGAATGAACCACGCTTCACTTTCCAATCTAAGCCCCATCCATTATCAACATTTAAAAAGCTGGATCTCCTCCGCCAGCCTAATTGCCTGGCTCTCGCTGCAGCCTGCCACACTATACTCCGCCGGTGTTCTCCTCCATCACTCTCCCCTGGCTTGCATTTGTCAGATTTTGATAGATGAGAGAAAAGTCGAGGCAGATAGCAAATTCAAACACTTCCAAATCTCAAAGCGCAAGTGCGGAATAACTTGGAACTTCACCCAATTTATAAACATTAAACGTGCACTCCCCACCTCCCACCTTGGCATCACATGGAATATATGCGCCTGCGTGTTTGGCTTCATTCAACAAATCAGGAGCGCATTACAATGAAGAGGCTATGCTCCCAAGCCAAGAATTCCCAGCTGCCTGCACCAGCCAGCTCTCTGCAGTTATGTGTAGATGTGAATAAAAATAAGATTAGGTGCAGTCAAATCAATCTGAGCCTGGGCCTCCATGCATTCGACCGCATAGAAAGCCACTGCGGGTCGTTTCGGGACACTTTCGGATACAGATATGGCAAGGGAGGAGCGCGAGTGGCGAATAAAAAAGTTGGAAAAGACTTGATGTTATACGTATTTTTGCTTTTAAAATGGTGTGAATGGTGTGAAAGAGTGTTTGGGAATACTTGCCAGTGTGAAGAGAATATTAAGTATTTCCACACTGGCTTCTGGACGATTTAGAATACATAAAAGGTTTTCGAGTAAAAGTGTGTTTATTTATTAATTCGCTATAATAAGCAGTTTAATAAAGTGCTTTTTCTGACACTCAAAGATGCTTCACATCTCTGTGTGGAGTGAGAGACAAATGCCCAAAAATAACAATTGTAAACCGCTTTGTGACTCTGGTCTGTGAAAGGCGGTATATACTGTAAATAAAGATTACTTACTTACTTACTTACTTATCACTATTCTTTCACTCCACGGTGGAGATA